TTTTAATACTGTCTGTCTTTTTAATATCAAGAATGTCCCGCTCTTTTTTGTCTCATTCATTCACGTTCCTTTATTAATAACGCTAACAGTCCCACCCGCTGAAAGCTGCGCGGAAAAAGTGAAAGTAACCGGCTAAATGTTTCATACTGGCTCTTGGCACAGGAGAACACCATCTTCTATAAAACAAAGTATATGTTTCAGTCCTGTCACTTTTTTACATACTTTTACACTTTTTCTGCTGTTTAAAAAATCTTTCTTTTCGCTATTACCACAAACAAGCTACGTAGCAGCTTGAATCTGAGTTTATTAGCTCTACGTTATCAGTTTGCTGTCGTGACTCTCGCGAACAGCACTGAACGCGCACTTTTCGGTACAAAAAATGTATTATTATTTTAAACCTTTTATCAGCTTATGTAGTCTCTACAACCAATGAATTACTGATCCCTAGTGATGTAGGCCTATAATTTTTGTAATAAATCATTTGTTGGTAAAGGGTGAGAGAGCCATAGGTTCCCGACCCCTGACCTAGAGAGTCCAGAGAATTGCACTGCGGTAGTTTTTTCCAGATTGAGCGAGAAACCTAGGACTAGTTCGCAAAAATTGTTCGGAACGAGGAGGTCTATCATACGATATGAATATCGCGTGCATGTGCAGAAAACTGCGCAATGTACAATCATTTACGCCCCAGTGGCTGATTTCTTTCAAATTTCTCACAGACCTTTGGGGCCGTGAGTCAAACAGGCCCACCGAGTTTCGTTCCGATCGGCCTCCGTTAACCTTGTCTAATAGGTGATCAAATTTCATCGGCCAATGGCGGCCATATTTTTTTGAGATACGCAAATGTCCGCATAGACACTTGTGGCACTTTGGACCAAGACCGTGCACAGCGATTTTCATGTTGATAGGACAAATGGTTGCCTATTTATAGCCATTTTTATGTTTTTCCCCTCTTATAGCGCCAGCAAGTGGCCAATCTCCGTGATTTTTTCTCCACAGCTAGAGCTCTTACATAAGTGTTCAGAGTTTGGCGAAGATATCTCATTCCGTTCAGGAGTTATAGGCATTTTACTAAAAGTGGCCGTGCCCCCTTCAAACGTTTTGGTGTCCCTTTGCGACGGTGAGTCGAAAGTTCAACTTTTTTTTGATAATTATTGATATTCACTCTCCAGAGAATCTTTCTGCACTGGTTTGGTTCCGATCGGGCGAAAAACCTAGGACTAGTTCGCAAAACTAGGTTTTTCAAAAAATGCAAAATACCCGAAAATTTTGCCAGGCTTGCAATCAAATCTGAGGCATGTGTTTTGTCCGGCATGAGCCAAGGATTCCAACGACATAAGACACTTGAGCCTGCGATTGACGGTTTAGGAGTTATAAGCGATTTCGTACTTTCGACCGCTGTAGCACCCCCGTCAGGCCGATTGGGGCGAGCCTTGGTCACGTTGTAGGCGGTGTGAGTACTACCATCCCTCCAAGTTTCAAGTCTCTACGACTTACGGTTTGGTCTGCACAATCAGTTTTACATGGAAAATCGCTCCTCCGTGACCATTCTAACAATTACAATAGGGTTTCAGCGCTACACGCTTGAACCCCTAATAATTAATTAAATATAAATGGAAATGAGATTGAGCTGCATACTGTGCACTGTATGTACTATATGGGTAATTCATCCTGGCACTTTTAAAAGCTCCGTTGCCATTGATCACTTGGTTTGTACATCCACATACAAACTAAATACAGTCCTTCCTAGCATTCCTTCCTACCAGTGGCGACTCGTGGGTTTTAAAATAGAGGAGGCACACTAATTGTATTGGACTGGGATCCCTGCCGATCATTATTATTATTATTTGCTTAACCACTTTAAAATGGCTTTTTGGTTGCTTTTAGTCAGAAAACGTAAAGAAAACGACACACATACAGCAAGATAATATAATTTCACTTACCTGGCCTGTTACTTGAAGCAAACATCCATCCCTTCTTAAAAGTCTGTGTTAAAAGAGAGCTGCCTGTTGCGCCATTTAATTAAGCCGACTGCTGTAGCCTATATCCAGCTTAGGTTCTGAGACATGAACTAAAATGAATTGCGAATTTTATTAACATTAAATCGTCCTCCTCCCATTTTCACCTCAAAATTATGGGGAAGCTGTGCCTCCCCTGCCTCCCCCGACGGGCCGCCACTGCTTCCTACTATAAAATTCTGAGAAGCTCTATTCCAAAATATAATGAACTCCATACTGTCCACTGCCTACTCAGCTCTCTTTTAATGCGGCATGAAAAACAACCTTATCAGTAATTTATTTGGAGCGCTGTACATTAGCAGGAGCTGTCTACAACATATAGCCTATAAGTGGTACAAAAGAGGTTAGGCTCACAATTGATTTCAATAGAGTTTGGAGTTAGCATGCTAAGCTAACTCCACAGTATCTTCACACATGAGTAAGAGGCTAATAAAAACACATAGAACACAAATATGGTGAATAATCATTTTTTAAAATTACACTGAGGTATTTTAGCCATGATTTTCAGTACTGAATAAACATTTATCCAACCTCATGTGCCTCTTTCAGAATCGCATATTAGAATATCACTTTTACTGTTTTTACCATATTTTTATGGAAGAAATAGCAAGAGTATTATGCGTGTATGCAATTATGAATTCATTGAGCTTGCAGTGCATTCTGGGATTCTCTTCTTCATAAAGAAAATGAGGTGGCAAATTTAGGTTTCTTTTGGTGCCTATGATGCTTTAAATTACTGCATCTGAATGCAGCTTGCTAGGTTTTGGAACATGTTACGTCCTCAACCTAACATAGAGGCGGAGGCAAGCACAGGCTCGTTTTAACAGGGAATATTTATTATTAAGTTAATTTAACATAAAGGAGAGAGAATAAATCATAAAGAAACTGCCGATCCCTGGTCTGGTTCTCCTCGAGTTGCCAGCACAAGTCCCGTAACTGCTTTCAGCGTCACAACAGTATTTATGCTGCTCAGCTCATCAGGCACACAGGTGTCTGAAATCGGCACCTAATAAATGAAGACAAACAAGAAAACTCTCGGCCACTAGGGGGCAGCCGTATCAGTACAAGACAATACTTGTGAACAAAAATCAAAATTACATGCATATGTAACAGAACACAATAAAAAAATAAATGTCCTTACAATTGGAAATGTTTCAAGTCATTGCAACATTTACTTTTACACAGTTTGCGTGTGTGTGAGTGTGTCGTTTTATTAGCATTAAAGCTGACTGTGAGTAGAGCCACAGGCAAGCCACTGTGCAAAACGGTAGGTCTGCTATAGCTGCTGACTCAGTCACCCGTTTCCTCAGTCAATTATGCACATAATCTATGTAATGAGATTTCCAATGACATGGGTGAAACATTAACCCTCTGGGCTTGCCTGCTGTTGCAATCACAGCTTCATAACTCTCACTTATACTGCAGTGTAGTGTTACCTTCATTATTTACCACAGGTCCTCACAGAGATACGCTAATGAACACACACACACACACACACACACACACACACGCACACTGAATTCAGTATTTCATCATGCCGTATTCCTCTTTTTCAAAACTCAGGATTTTTTATGTACTATGTGTATTAGATGACTTTTTCTTCATTTTAGGACGTTATTTTTAAATGTGACCCATTGTGATTATTTAATTCAAGAAGTAGATTAGTTTGTTTCTTTATCAGAACAGATTTGGAGAAATTTACCTTTACATCACTTGCTCACCAATGGATACTCTGCAGTGAATGGCTGCCGTCAGAATGAGTTAAAACAGCTGATAAAAGCATCACGATAATTCACAATTAATCAACACAACTTCAGTCCATCAGCTAATGTCTTGTGAAGGGTAATTAATGTACTGGAGTTGTGTGGATTACTTGTGGATTATGCTATTTGGACTATTTTGACGGCACCCATTCACTGCAGAGGATCCATTGGTGAGCAAGTGATGTAATTGTAAATTTCTTCAAATCTGTTCCAATGAAGAAACAAACTCATCTACATTTTAAGCAATTTTTTATTTTTGGGTGTACTATTCCTTTAATGGTCACTTTACATTACCATAAGTGAAAGACACTTGTGCCTTTCAAAAGGACATTTCCACTTTAATTATATCATTAAGACCCTACACTGTTTTACAGCTCAGTGCATAAGACATTACTGGTAAAGAAGACGATGCATATGGAGGAGAAGTAGAAAAGGAGCCACTTAAAATGAAATATAATGAGAAAAACACATTTTCAGCCTGGGATACTTTTATTGCGCTCTCTGAGTTCATGACAGTCTTAAAGCTGCTTTACGTGATTTCAGAAACCTGCCTGACACCACTTAAAATTAGAAATGCAGAATAGTTTTGGATGGTGTGTTGATGAGTCCTTTTATATATATATATGCACTTAAGAATATTATAACAGAACTGGGCAATCCTGTATCTCAGTGTGCTATCTGTTTCAGCTTTATTTCAATTAATGAAAAATAATGATTAACAGTGTTTTAGATTTAGATTTTTTTTATTTAGTTATTCCATACTATGTTGCTAACTCAAATCAGGACTGCATTATAAAAGGAAGTCCAACCTATTGCACATATTAATCCTGATGTTTTTCAGGTCCATCACCTGGAAAAGACACACCACACTCATCTCTGATGTAATCAATCAATCAGCATTGGACAAAAGAAATGGACGTGTTCACTCAGACCATAATCACTGTGACATGCCAACAGTTACTGATAAATGTTTCTAGTTCAAATCCTACAGTCTTATGGCTTGAAGTTCTACCAGGCAGCCAAGCTCTTTGTCTGTGCTGGATCAATAACATGAAAAATTGTCTGATGTTTTCCTTAGGCTGGAGTTTCAGTATGGGCTCAGCTTATCAGTTCCACAGCTGGAGGGTGTTTGTGGTGGTGTGCGCTCTCCCCTGCGTCTGTGCCGTGGTGGCCTTAACGTTCATGCCAGAGAGCCCAAGGTTCTACTTGGAGGTAAGGAGTGTGTGAAATTAGGTGGAGAGATACAAAGAAAGTGTATAATTCATTATAGCTTTGGTTGAGTTTGAAATAAGAGTAATTTACAAATAGAAAATGGGCAAAATCCATTTCAGATGCTTGTGGCTGCTTTCTTGTTAACTGCATGTTTCTAAAAACATCAGTTTATGGCTTGAACATCTGAAGAAACAGCCTGACTTAAGGGAACACGACTCTCTTTGAAGCTAATGACGCGTGCTTGTCGTGACTCCCTACGCCCCTCTTTTAGGCCTGCCGTGGCAATAGAGGTGGGCGGCTGTCATCTAGCACTGCGGTTTCCACTTAATCCAGTTAATCTCTTAGGGATTTTTCTGCTCTATCCTTTCAGGTGGGGAAGCACGACGAGGCCTGGATGATCCTCAAGCAGATTCATGACACAAACATGCGAGCGCGTGGACAGCCCGAGAAAGTCTTCACCGTGAGTCGATTCCCTCACTGCGCTAACTTTAAGCTGCTTAGAGCACCAACCATGCATTAAAGTTGCTTAAATTCATATGATTGTCTCATCCTGCCCTGTATGTGGGCTTCACAGATGTTTCTGGTGTCATTTATTGAGCTGCTTGGTGACGGTGATGAAGATCAAGCTGTCATCCAAATTGGACACTCTTATACCTCCCTAAGATATTCTCTCTCTTTTAAATACTGAATATACTGAAGTCCAACTTAAAAAATACACACATTTCATTGCATTACATAACAAAAAAATCTGTAGAATAGCCCATATAGACTGCAGGCAAAAGTGGACCAAATCCGATTTGAGATCTTTTTCTTCAAACTTTTCACCAATTTACACTTGAATCTGATATGTAGAGAAAAAGAAAGATCTGAGTTATAAATCAGGATTGAGAACTATGGCTTACAGTGTGAACGTAGCTCTAGTAACTGGTGTTTCTTCTTGTAGGTGAACAGAATTAAGATCCCAAAGCAGATTGATGAGTTTGTCGAGATGCAGACCGAATCTGGCAACCTTTTCTCAAAAGTGATCTTCAGGATAAAGACTGAGCTTCATGGGGTGAGATTCATGATGTGTGACCTTTCAGAAATAATGTCATCTATGTAATCATTAGCATAAATTACTGAATACGTTCAAATAAAATGATTAAAACTCCCTTTTCTGTCCTTCCAGATTTGGTTAAACTTCTTGAAGTGTTTTAATTATCCAGTGAAAGACAGTACAGTCAAACTGGCTATTGTGTGGCTCACACTGTCATTTGGGTAAGATCTCTATCTGTTTGGCTGTCGTGCTGTCGTTCGGTCTGTCATTCTGTCTGTCTCTCTGTCTATCTGTCTTCTGTCGTTCTGTCTGTCTGTCTGTCATTATGTCTGTCTTCTGTCGTTCTGTCTGTCTGTCTGTCTGTCGTTCTGTCTGTCTGTCTTCTGTCATTCTGTCTGTCTGTCTTCTGTCATTCTGTCTGTCTCTGTCTGTCTGTCGTTCTGTCTGTCTGTATGTCGTTCTGTCTGTCTGTCGTTCTGTCTGTCTTCTGTTGTTGTTCTGTCTGTCTGTCGTTCTGTCTGTCTTCTGTCATTATGTCTGTCTGTCTGTCGTTCTGTCTGTCATTCTGTCTGCCTTCTGTCGTTCTGTCTGTTGTTCTGTCTGTCTGTCTGTCTGTCTTTCTGTCTGTCGTTCTGTCTGTCGTTCTGTTGCTTTGTCTGTCTGTCGTTCTATCTATTGTTCTTTCTTTCTTTCTTTCTTTCTTTCTTTTTCATATCATTAAAGAACTCAATACTTCTGCAGGTATTATGGTTTATCCGTGTGGTTCCCTGACGTCATCAAACATCTTCAGGCCGATGAATACGCCTCCAAAGTACAAAGGCATAACAATGAGCGCATTGAAGACTTCACCTTCAATTTCACCCTTGAGAACCAGATACACACTAATAGCTTATTTATCAATGACAGGTGACTTATTCAAACTGTAACAGTAATCTTCTTCTTATTGTACTAATTCTTATTCTGTGTGTGCATATTATCACATAAATAATTTTCTTTATCCGTTCCTCAGGTTCATAGGTATGAAATTCAAGTCTGTCACTTTCATCAATTCCACTTTTCAGAGCTGCTTTTTTGAGGATGTGACATCAGTTGGATCTTTCTTTCGAAACTGCACATTTATTGAGGCTGTCTTCTATAACACTGGTAAAACAGTCATTTATTTCTGAACACAAAACAGACCACCTTTTCACCATTTTACCACTTTGCTGCATGCCTGCAAATACTTAACTATCGCTTTCTACTGTGGTTTAAATCTCGTTAATTTATTCATTCGACAGATATTGACGACTCCAAACTTATAAACACAGATGTCGTAAACAGCACATTTTACCACAACAAAACAGGCTGTCAAATGACATTTGAGGATGATTATAGTGCATACTGGGTCTACTTCGTCAATTTCTTGGGAACACTGGCTGTTCTGCCCGGTAACATCGTATCTGCACTTCTCGTGGACAAAATTGGCCGCTTGTCAATGTTAGGTGAGACAAATATTTCATTTTGTTGCAGGTTGTACCACTTTGCAGATATATTTGAGATTCATACTTTTTGTTATGTGTGAAAGAATAGTTTTGCTGTAAATATTCTGTGTTTTGTCAGGGTTTTCCATGATTCTGTCTGGTATCAGCTGCTTCTTCCTGTGGTTTGGCACCAGTGAGTCGATGATGATTGGGATGCTGTGCTTGTACAATGGGCTGAGTATTTCCGCCTGGAACTCCCTGGATGTTGTGACAGTAGAGCTGTACCCTACGGACAGAAGGTGGGTTTGTACTCATACATAATAAAATATGCTAACAGACATGCAACAAAGCTGTTTAATGATTCCAAAGCCCAAAGCCCAGTAAATATCAATGTAACACCAACTTTTTACCTTTTTCTCTTCCATCCTCTCTCCCTCCACTTCTCTATTTCAGAGGAACTGGATTTGGCTTCTGTAATGCCTTGTGCAAGCTAGCCGCAGTGATGGGAAATCTGATTTTTGGATCTTTAGTGGGCATCACCAAAGCCATCCCCATTCTTCTGGCCTCCTCAGTGCTCGTAGGCGGAGGTCTGGTGGGATTGCGACTACCTGACACCAGGTCAAATGTCCTCATGTAACCCTTGTGTTGGAGGTCTGGAGAAACTTAAAAGGCTTGACTTAACCCTCATTCCTCATTGTTGTACACTGTGTACTTGTATTGTGTTCATAACAAGATACTTCTCAATTAGGCATCATCATATTTTGACAATCTTTAGACTTGCATTGCAATAATAAAACTTCTGCACCTTTATACTGTACAGTTCATTTAACCAAGACCCTCATGTTTCCTTGTGACTTTTTAGAGGTTTATAATGGCCCAGGAATGAATGTGAGCGTAAATATGAATGTCCCCTTATTAAGACTTGAGCAAAACAACCTATTAATGAGCAGTCCAAACCTGCTGCAAGTATGCAGAGAGGATGATCAGATACGCCGAAAGCTCAGCACAGCTGCATCACACCTGGCTGACTTAATCCTGAGAATCACTAAAGAGATGAGAGACTGAGACCGGTCTACTGGTAAACAACTCTTTATTCAGTTATTAGTTTCAGGATTTGACTACACATAGTGAAAACATCATCCAGATATGGTATCATACATTTCTAATGAAAGAGAATATGGTTTTGTTATTGAATCAGTTTCACTGAGTATTGAGTAAGTTGATGACGAGGTTAAATTTTTACAGTATTATTACTGTATTTTTTTTAAACAATCAAGCCTTTTGCATATGTACTCCAACCTCTGATGAAAAAGGCCACAACTGTGCACCCATGCTCAAAGTATATGTATAAAGTTCCTCCGGCCATATTTATAAAAAACAAAAAATCCCATTTTGTGCTCTGCAGATGTTTTGTTCATATACAGTGGAGTATGTTTTGTTCATAAGCTTTTTATTGCAAGCCTATTTGATTTCATATACAACAGGCATGTGTTATCGGACTTGTTCTGCCAATTTGTGATTTGTCTAACAGCGAATGGCCTTTTGAAACTGTGCCTCTCCTACATAAGATCATCATCACGTATGAACTTGAGGTGGCTGCTGTATTTGATATCATAGAGTGTGTATCTGCCAGGGTCACTCATGCAAACCATCTTACAATCTGACAGAAAGGACTGATGAGAATCAGGCTGGCGATGTCCCGGAAAGCCTCTTTTATGTACAGTGTCAAAGACTCATCTTGTTGACATGACAGGTTTGTTGGTGCAGAGGGAATTTAGAGGGCCCGCCTCAACATATGGGGTCTGCAATCTGTGGAGAGGGGAAGAGAGATGTGTTTGATAACCACATGACACGCGATTCATTTACAAGTTTCATTTCCAAGCCAAGTGAAGAAAATTCTGTTTTGGTTGCTTCTACAAAATGACTTAGATATTTCAATATAGATTTACATACACTACCATTTAAAAGTTTGGGGTTCAAATTTTAATTTAAGAAATTACAGGTAGTAATTTTATTCAGCATGGATGCATTAAATTGATCAAAATCGACAGTAAAGACAATGTTATAAAAGTTTTCTTTCTCAAAAATATGCTGTCATTCTGAACTTACCGTTCATCAAAGGATCCTGGAAAAAAAGCGGTACTATTTTCAACATTGATATAAATAAGAAATATTTCTTGAGCACCAAATCGCCATATTAGAATGATTTGTGATAGATCATATCACACTGGAAATTCTGCTTTGGAACTTGATCAAAATCGACAGTAAAGACATAATGTTATAAAAGTTTTCTGTCTCAAATATATGCTGTCATTCTGAACTTACTGTTCATCAAAGGATCCTGGAAAAAAAGCGGCACTATTTTCAACATTGATATAAATAAGAAATATTTCTTGAGCATCAAATCGCCATATTAGAATGATTTGTGATAGATCATATCACACTGGAAATTCTGCTTTGGAAACACATGATGTTAAATTTTATGGTTTAGCTTTTACAATCAGTGCCAAATACAGTTTTCTGAACAACATAAATCAACAGTGTTACTATTATCTGGCTTTTGCTATGTTTTGAGAGTAAGAAATTTCAGTTAAAAAGATTAGAACTTTATATAGGACCATTGATGTTTTTCATTTGATTTGGCTTCCAACTAACCAAAGAGGCTTAATGCTGTCTCACTCTCAGCAAAGCTATGCCGTTTCTTCAAGGCGTTATTTATAAATGAGATTATAAATGATCAGTGCTGTACAGTCCTTGATCTAAGCCTGTCTTCATCTGAAAACCTCTTTTTTAAATTTATGCATATAGTTTAGTGTTAACATGCTGTCTGAAATGATGTGTGTGTGCTTGTGAACAGTACAAACTGTTTGTGTATATATCTGTGTATGGGTAAATGGTAAATGTGTGCTTATCCATGTATATTTTGTACATTTACAATAATCGACTCACGTGCTGAATACTGTGTGTAAACATTTTTGGGGACTGCAGTGGATGAATCTGTAGTGTATGTACACCGCTGAAAGTGTTTACTGTTCATCTGTCATTGCAGCACTGTTCCCAAGAGCCAGCCATCCTGAGGCATCACTGAACAAAACTGCATGTATTAAACTTTTAGGGTCTGTACTCAGCTCTCCAGAGAATGTCGCACTGTTGTGTGTTTTATGGCAGAAAAATACCGAAGAATAAAGCTATCATATTTTGTGAAGGTGATAAAGATGTGCTGAAACGTGTCTGTACCTAATATGAAACAAAGCTTATTAGAAGAAAATATGCACAGACTGGACTTACTCATTTATGCAATACATAGGTTAAATTGACTGAAAATGTGGTGTGTCAATGTCAAACACATTTTAAGTATTTATAAAGGCTTGCCACATTTTAACTTGACATAACTGACCTAAAACGAGTTGTATTTGATGAGGCTGATATTCAGAGGTGGAGTAAATGCCCATGTTTATATTATGCCCATATTTCAAAGAAAATTTTTTAATTAAAATCAAGTCAACATAAACACACTTTCAGCACTGCAGACACTCTTTCCTTCCCACACAGCTCTTCCACAGAGATACAAATATTTGAACAGGTAAAACATGAAGATTATAAATTATATTAAAAATGTATAAAACATATAGCAAATATACGAACAGGTAGAACAGGTATATTTTTTAATGTATTAAAATATATTTACAACATTACCTATATAGGCTAGCTACATACTTATTAGGCTACCTTACTTAGGGTATATAGGCCGGTTCATAGCTTTTCAAATATATGAACAGGTAAATGCTGCAGATGCTACGCTAAATATAACTCATAAAAGGAATTGGAAATACATGGCTAGAGGTTCAAATGACATCAAGGTTGCCTCGTTTGAGGTAAACACTAAAACAGAGATGAAAATTACATTTAATATAAAACAATGACAATGGCTAAATTTCGGCCATAACTACGGTAATTTTCGCGTATTTTTTCTCTACACAGTGTTGATATGAAATGACAGACTTGGATGACAGCTTAAGATGAATGCAACGTAAAGCCTATATTAAGTAATAGGCTACAACTACCTATCTTAAAAACCAGGATATTTATGAGCTAGTTGAGGAGCCTCATCAGCCCAGAACAACATCTTATTTTAACACAGAGTGATTTAACACAGAGGACACCTGATATCACACATAAAGATCACTGAGAAATGTAACACTTGCATAGACGATTTGTCAACAACGAGGGCAAATTTCCCCAACTTTAACCCCATTTTATGATTTGCATTGGTTTTTAAGTGTAGTACAACACTGACATCTGCAGGAGGTGTGTTGCCTGCACCTAATTCATGACACTTTTAGTTTTACTCTAAAATGAGAAACCATTCTCTCACATTTTACCTTTTCTTGGAAACGTGTATTAAGTAGTAAAATATGGGATCTATGAAATATGATACCAGTCAAATACATTGTATTGGGCCAGATCTTATGGATAAGTATGGGAAATGGTGAAATGGTAAATTCATGAATATCTATCTTGTTATAATAAATGTTATCTTGATTTAAATACATTTTGATTGCTTTGTTTTCTAACCACTAGACTTATTAATTGATTGTTCCTTTTATTGATTGTGCATTAATTTACATTTTAATTGAGTATTTCAGAAGTCACACACTTTTGAAGACTTAAAGGGATAGTTCACCCAAAAATTCTGTTATCATTTACTCACCCTCATGTCGTTCCAAACCTGTATGAGTTGCTTTCTTATGTTGAACATAAAAGAAGATATTTTGAAGATTGCTGGTAATCAAACAGTTGGTGGTTGCCATTGACTTCCATAGTATTTTTTTTTCCTACTATGGAAGTCAATGGCAACCACCAACTGTTTGATTACCAGCAATCTTCAAAATATCTTCTTTTATGTTCAACATAAGAAAGCAACTCATACAGGTTTGGAACGACATGAGAGTGAGTAAATGATGACAGAATTTTAATTTTTGGGTGAACTATCCCTTTAAGTCACACTTTAAAACGTCTGCATGCCATTGCATTAGATACACCCGCACAAACATGCTTGCGCTTTTCATCAGAACTAGCTTTTCTTTTGTTTTTTTGTTTTTGTAAGTAGGCTACTTCTGATCAGGTCCCAATGTGATTTTCATATGTCAGTTCACTTGAAGTTCACACAGGTGTTAGAATAACAACAGGTGTTTATATTGTTTAATAATTCAAAACCTAGAATACATTTTATTTAGGCTATTAATTTATAATTTGTGGTTTTATTTGTGTTGTTTTATAGGCTAATACAACGTCATTCAAAACTTAACACACTTAAAAAAATAAAACGTTAAAGTCTTAAAAACGTATAAATTAATATTTGTTTTTACTCAAGTCAAGATTATTATCTAATAACAGAATCGCCCTGACTACATTAGTTTACACAACAAAGCGAAAGCATGTTTTAAGGGTGAGATCAGTTAAAAATAGGCCTACTCTAGCTGCACCTTCAGTGTGTGCCGCGGGTGAGATCAGGGTGGCGTCACGCGCCAGCAGGTGGAGCCGCGGCATTCAGTGTCAGCTGAGCTTCAGCGCGAGCTCACGGGAGCTTTCATCAGGTTGACAGGCAAAGGAAGAGCCGCAGTAACCGAAAGCGCTTCACTGCAAATGGGCAAGCCGTTTTACTGGGAACCAAGGCTATGACAACAGGAGCAAATTTAGTTTTGTTCGCTTAAGAAAAAAGTCTGCAGTAAGTGTAAGAAAGTTCATGGTGGAGGCTCAGCAGAGTTTCAGAGGAAGCAGGATGTACCATGAAGACGGCGCAAACTCTCTCAGACCACGATATGGATGTGAGTAGAGCCACTTCACTTCATGTCAGTTATGAAACTAATCTTTAAATATGAAACTAAATGAGTGTTAATTGAATTTAAATGCACTGTAGTGCCCTGGACAGTTGGTCAGCAAGAGTAACGTTAGCTGCCACAGTAATCTGACATCTATGATCAGTGGAGTGGGTGGTTAGTTTGGTGTGCACATGTACATGCATAATATTGAGGAAATGTATATATTTCCTCAATTGTATGAATATACATGTAAATGTTATGTATAAATATGCAATATTTAGAAGCACACTGATGCTGACTTGCTTTAAAAATGAGTTCAATATGAGCTCATGTATTCAGGCAGATTTTGAATAATATTTTTGACTTGAATAAAGCCAGTTAACTTTTAGGTTATCTAAACAAGCATTTTTAGAGTGCATAAAATGTGTTTGAAGTTAATATTGCTGATTTATCAGCCTATCACTAGTTTTATTTAACATTATTATAAAAACAATCAAGGTGTTATAACTGCAAGGGAGTCATTTAAGGCCATTTCAGTTTATATCAAGATTTATGACTGAACTGACTGACTTTTCCAGTAAGATATAAAGTAGAAATGTGTGAAAATTGTATTTAAAAAAATCAGTCAAGAAGATAATAGATCTGATGATGAATCTGTCTATCTATAGTTTAAACTCAGTTGCCAATTATATTTCTGTCAAACCCACTTCCCATTTTTTAGTCTAGAAGGTGATGGGCTAATGATGACTTCTATTAGACATTGCACAATGAGCCATTACAATGTCTTCTGGGCCTTACAGATATGCTATATTAACTATTTTGTCTATCCAGCACTAGATCCCTGAACTTTCTCTGCCATGTCCTTATATTATGTTGTCTTAGAAAGGTGTTTGTGTATCCTTGGCATTAGATCTCATTCTGTGGCTTGAGCAAAGAGAAGCTCCATGAGAGTTTTCTCCAGTTAAACATTACCTCTGCCCTTTGTAAAAGCACCTGACAGTCTGTACAGTCCAGATATTTGAGGAATTCTGTTTAAGGAGTTTATCTGTGCAGGTTTTATTAAACACACAAATTGCACCATGCTGGTAGACATGGTGTTTTACTGTGTGTACATCTAGAATGATGAACAATGTTTAATATATTGTTTGCATAGCAGCAGACATTTGATTCTGGCATAAACTTCTAGTTGGTTGTGTATCAGAACCTGTTAGTTAAGTCTACCATATCAAATCAAGGTTGAGAGATGAACTAGCTAACTAACTTTTTGTCGGCTCATTATATGAAGTTTACTTAACTCTCTGTCAACACTGGCACAGAGATCACATTCCAGCTAAGCTACTGACAAGGCCACTGGTTTCATGTTGCTGATTTAATTTATTAATTAATTTGAATGAATGAATTATAATAATTATTATATTATAATGAATTAATTTTAATATATGCATTAATTTTATATAGAGTGTTTACATGAACCTTTTTGTTATTTATTGCCTTTGTTATTCTCAAAAATATTTTTTGCTTTTTGCAATTGGGACAACACATTTTCATGCTTCACATATTGAATTTAAAGGATTAGTTCACTTCTGAATTAAAATTTCCTCATAATTTTCTCACCCCCATGTCATCCAAGATGTTCATGTCTTTCTTTCTTCAGTCGAAAAGAAATTAAGGTTTTTGAGGAAAACATTCTTGGGTTTTTCTCTATATAGTGGACTTCAGTGGGGTTCACTGGGTGGAAGGTCCAAATTGCAGCTTCAGTGCAGCTTCAAAGTGTTCTACACGATCCCAGACGAGGAAGAAGGGTCTTATCTAGCGAAACGATCAGTCATTTTCTAAAAAAATGTTTTAACCTCAAACGCTCGTCTTGTTTAATTCTGCGTGAACTCTGTGCATTCCGGTTCATGACAGTTAGGGTATATCGAAAAACTCCTATCTCATTTTCTCCTCCAACTTCTAAATTGCTAAATTCTAAATCGTCCTACATCACTGTTTTACTGTTTTTTGTAAAGGGCGTTTGACCTTCTTTGCACGTTCACTTTGTAAACACTGGGCCGGTACTTCTGCAGCGATGTAGGACGATTTTGAAGTTGGAGGAGAAAATGAGATGGGAGTTTTTCAACCTACCCTAACTGTTTCGAATGGGACTGCACAGAGTACGCATGCGCATTGCAGAGCTACACAAGACAAGCGTTTGAGGTTAAAAAGTATATAATTTGTATTCTTTTTTTAGAAAATGACCGATCGTTTCGCTAGATAAGACCCTTCTTCCTCGTCTGGGATCGTGTAGAACGCTTTGAAGCTGCACTGAAGCTGCCATTTGGACCTTCCACCCAGTGAACCCCACTGAAGGCCACTATATAGAGAAAAACCCTGGAATGTTTTCCTCAAAAACCTTAATTTTTTTTTGACTGAAGAAAGAAAGACATGAACATCTTGGATGACAGGGGGTGAGTAAATTATGAGGAAATTTTAATTCAGAAGTGAACTAATCCTTTAACTCCAAAAGCTAGTACAACTATACCCTGTGTCTTAAGCTGTTTGCTTGAAGATACCCCAAAAAAGTTGGACCAAAGTCTGCATCACAGTGGACTCTTATTTTAAGATAGAATTAATCTTGAAAGTAAGCATACAGGAAATGACATCATATCGTGCAAGGATGACTGAAATGCCCTACACTGCATCTCATTGTCATATGAGGAATCTGTGGCCCATATTGATATGAGAGATTGGATGGCCACAGTTTACAAACAGACGTTCCCCTCACAACCGCTATAAGTGTGGTGCGGTTGCTGACACAGTTTACATTACCGTTCTCTTATGCTCACCAAGGCTGCATTTATTTAATCAAAAATACAATAAAAACAGTAATATTGTGAAATATTATTACAATGTAAAATAACTTCTTTTTTTAATTTGAATATTTTTTAAATATAATTTATTTATGTTGTGGCAAAGCTGAATTTTCAGCAGCCATTACTCCAATCTTCGTTGTCACATGATCCTTCAAAAATCAAGAACCATTTCTTATTATCAGTGTAAAAGTCTTTACTGTCACTTTTGATCAATTTAATGCATCCCTGTTGAATAAAAGAACCCAATCTTTTGTTACTGAAATGTGCCTCTGTTACTAATGTTGCTACATCAGATCTTAGTCAACAGGCTAAATCTACCCATTGATGTTTCCTCAAATGGCTGTTGCACTTCAGACTGCTGATGAGTCTTTCCTTGTTTATAATATTTTAAATGCAGAGCCACTTTTGTGAGAACCCACTTTTGTTGTCATGTTTTCAAAATATTGAGTTTATCGTCTGTGGGACAGATTGATGTGATAAGGCTGACCTACATAATGAAACCCCACAGAGGTTAACTGGCAAGCCTGAGCCTGTGCGTCAGGGTGAGAAATTTGCAGTGCTGTTTGTCATTACAGAATTGAATCTCATTTACTCGAACAAAGACCAGCATGGGATTGTGTGTCAGCAAGCTTAATTATTACTAGATGAGTGAGGATCGTGAAAACACTTGGTAGTTGGACACAGTCTTGTGCTCTGTCTGATTTTATCACATGTAAAAATGTGCTTCTCATTTCGTGTCAGAGCATCACACGTTCTCTTAGGTTTCTTTTTAATTGCACTAGTTTTTGTTGTCAAGCTGCTGCCTTTTTCTTGTGAGAGTGGATGTGACCTACTTCACCAAGAGTCATAATAAGTGTCATATTTTACTATTTTAATGATGTTTCAACTGGGCTCCACCAGGCTGTGGAGAAGATGCACTGTATATTTCAGTCAAGGGATGGGCGATCGTATAATCAAATAACTTATTAAACCAAGTGACGTGAGTGCCGCTACATCTGCTAGTAGACTGTTCTCAAAACCAATCATGAGCTCTGTGGTAAACACTACAGGTTGTGAACTTGTGTGCTGCTTTCATAGATGGTGTTTTGGTGAGATGTGGTTGGCAGTTGATCTATAAGCGTGTCATGTTGATGTGTTAAGTCACGGCATGTTGATCATCTTGCACAACATCAGCTTTGCACGGCTTCACTAATTTGATTTTTTTTTTCAGTGTAAATTCAAAATAGAAACACATTCAAAATCCAGTCCTGGTTTTACCTAGGACTGAATATGATTGTGTTGGTTGCATCATGTGATTGGTGAGTGTGTTTACAGTAAGTGGCAACAGCAGCTCCATGCCATTAAAATAAATGATTAAATAACAAGATAAAGTAAATGTCTAAAAAAAGTAATGATGCCCTTAAAACACTGAGCTTCAGTCACATTTAAATTTTTTTAAATGTTTCTGCATTGAACAAAATCAAACTGAATGGCATTTAAAATTTTTTTTAGCAGAAATACACTTTAATGCAAAACAATTTACAAATATACACTACTGTTCAAAAGGTTGGGGTGAGTAAAGAGTTCTTTTTTGTAATAAAATAGTACTTTTATTCAGTAGGGATGCATTCAGTTGATCAAAGTGACAGTAAACACATTTTTATTTCAAATAAAATAATTTTAAGAAAGACATAAGGATTTGTATTTCAAATAAATGCTGTTTTGCTGAACCTTTTATTCATCAAAGAATCCTGAAAAAAAATGTGTCACGGTTTTCACAAATATATTAACCCTTAACTGCATACCCTGTCATTCACTACCCTCTCCCTCCTTTATTTCTTAAATTTAGACATCAACCTTCTTAGTATTCCTTAGTCTATTCATTATAAACAATATAACCAAAAAAAGTAAACTTATAAAACAATGTCTGTTTCCTGATTAATTTTCTGTAAAAAGTGTGTAGGGTCGCTAGCGATTTGAGATATGTAATATTGTAAGTAGGGTTGGGTATCGTTTGAATTTTATCAATTCCGATTCCGATTCTGCTTATCGATTCCGATTCTTTTCGATTCCCAGTTTTGATTCCAATGTGATTTAATAATGATATCAAACATTCATCCTGTGTCTCTTTTTTGCAAACCATTTAGTTGCAGCTGAATACCACGAACAAATAATCTTTTGCATGGTTCAAAGACAAATACATTTTAGCCCCTTTTCGTCACCTACTGGTGTAACAATGTAATCGATAAATCTTCATTTGAAGCAACTACACGGACAAACCAAGTGATCACAACATTGATCGCACACAGGTTGAGGAATGAAACAGACGAATCATTGTCATTTAGGAATAGAATCACATTGGTGTTTGAATCGTGTTCGCGATCTTTAACAATCTATTAAATTAAAGTGCTTTGTCATGTTGGTGGTGACACCTCTCTTGCACGTTTAACTATTATATTATACTTAGCTTTTTTGGCTTCTGATCGCAAATGTAGCCAAACTTTGGAGCGCTTAGAATAGCGAGCAAGGTCCAGGCAGATCGCTAGGTCAGGTCCTCACAGATGAAGAAAAAAAAGCCCATAGGAATCGATAGGCAGCAAAAATTGAACTGACTTGAATGGCTTTACTGCACAGCAATTACTGTACACAATGAAATATAAGTGTCACTGTCATTTGATTGTGGATGTGGTGAATAAGCTGTCAACGATCAAAATACTGATTTTGAAGTCATTGAAAATGGTAGTTTTGAGAATATGTTTGAGATTGCGAATATGAGCCAGATGCTGAATTTACTGTGGAAATGCACTCTAAATATGACAGTGATGGTAAAATCATCTGCTCAAATTGAACCCTTCTAAGTTTCAAAAGGTAATAAGCTTTATTTTATTATTTTGTAACTGTTATTAAAATATCAGGAGAGTTATGCTATTGCAGCAATTAGAGATCCATCCGTGTCGGATATATAGGTCCGGGTCACTAAAGACCCGAATATGTAATAATGATTGGTGAAACATCCATTCATTTAAGGGTTAAGCAGCAAAACTGTTTTGAGATGTCAATAATTTGTAGTTAATGTGATAAACTCTAATAGGACACCTGTGTGAACTTGAGTCCACATCCACTATAATCACTTTGGGACAAGTTATTTAAAGGTCATTGGCATTGCATTGCAAAAATATATTAGCAAAGTTAGTTCTATGAAGAACTCTGGCATCAATTGTTTGCAGATGACACTTGATTTTGATAATTGCATCTAATGCAATACCATTCCACATGTGAATTAAATGTCCAAAATCTTTTTGAGAGAAAGGACAGTTAATGGCATGTCATCAATCGTTTCTTTGGCCCAATTACATCAAATGACTGATCAACAACTTGTGACCAGCTTAAGTCATATGTAAGGTGATTCCAGCTACTTTTAAATAAAGCGATTACGTTGAACTTGGCAGTCTTGTGAAGATGTGGCTGAGAAGTAATGTAGCAGCAATCACATAAAGGCCAACCACAAACAGTTTTTTAATGATTTCACGTACCGCTGACAGCGATGAGAGATGCTGATTATTTCTGCACACGTTTACTGTTTATTGTGTAAAATTACTCAAGCATACACGCAAATTCAGTGCGATTCACTTCATTCCTTCATTTCAAATTGCTTAAGCACTTTTTCCAGTTCATGCTACTGAAAGGCGATTCCAGTGTGACTTTAAATCAAAAGCAGTCTGAAACACATAGAGTCTGAATAAAATATAATTAGAAGAATGGGACTTGGCTATATGCTGTCGTATTCATTCATTGCCTTTTGTCATAGTTTGTAACTGGAGAGTCTAGTGGTAGTTGTGTTGGCTATGCTACAGTTACCTAAATTAACCAGGAGAGGAAAATGTCACGCTCAGCGTTCTGATGTGTTATTCCAACATTATGGAAAAATAACCTCTATTCTTGATATCGGGTGTTGCATTGTCCAACTGTTATTTTCCTTTGTTTATCCTACAGCCATTGTGGACGATGAGAGGCTGTCGGCAGAAGAAATGGATGAGAGGAGGATGCAGAATATTGCTTATGAATACCTTTGTCACCTAGAGGAAGCCAAACAGTGAGTCAAAGTATATATATTTCACCCAAATGAGTCATATGGACTATGCTTAGGGTCCTTCTCCTGAAAAAGGTTGAAGACCCCTTATGAACATGAACTTAAGTAGGCCTAATTCGGAGGTGATCCTGCCTAGCATGTGGCTGTGCTCACAGTGTGATAACTTATCAGTATAATGTGATACTGTAGTCTATTTGTGATCAGTCAATATTGTTTTTACCAGGATGGCAAAATAAATAAGCTTACAAACCTTTCACAGGAACTTGAAAACGCATATATGTGACACTGGACCACAAAACCAGTCTTAAGTTGCTTGGGTATATTTTTAGCAATAGCCCAAAAAACATTGTATGGGTCAAAATTATTGAATTTTTCTTTTATGCCAAAAATCATTAGGATATTAAGTAAAGATCATGTTCCATGAAGATATCAAAACTTAATTTTTGATTAGCAATATGCATTGCTAAGAACTTCATTTGGACAACTTTAAAGGCGATTTTCTCAGTATTTTGATTTTTTTTGCGCCCTCAGATTCCAGATTTTCAAATAGTTGTATCTCGGCCAAATAGCCAAATTGTTGTATCCTAACAAACCATACATCAATGGAAAGCTTATTTGTTCAGCTTTCAGATGGTGTATAAATTTTAAAATCTCAATAAATCTCAATTGTGTGTCAGGAGAATGTGCCACAGCCCTGACACTCTTTAGTTTAAAAAATGGGCCAAAACATCACTAAAATTAAATTGAAATAATGAATTTTAATGTTAATTGTCCCAATATGATTCTAAGAAATTAAACATTTGAAACCAGTCACTTCTCAATGAGCTCCCAGAATGTAACATTTATGGAAGCAATTCATATATAGGAAATAAATTTATGTATTTTTTTTTAGTATTTTTATGATGTACTTCAATGTGTGCGCTACTGTTCAAAAGTTTAGGGTCAGTACGATTTTTTAATGTTTTTGACAGAATCTCTTATGCTGTGATATTGTGAAAATGTTATTACAATTCAAAATAACTGTTGTGTATATGATTATATTTTTAAAAGTCATTTATTCCTGTGATGGCAAAGTTGAATTTTCAGCAGCCGTATCTCCAGTTTTCAAATGATCCTTCAGAAATCATTCTAATATGCTGATTTGCTGCGCATGAAATTTATTATTATCAATGTTGAAAACAGTTATGCTGGTTCATATTTTTGTGGAAACTGTGATAAATTTTTATTGCAGGATCTTTGATGAATAGAACATTCAAAAGAACAGCATTAATTGGAAATCTTTTGTAACATTATAAATGCCTTTACTGTCACTTTTGATCAATTTAATGTAAAATATGAATGTATTTTAAAATATTCTTATTGACCCCAAACTTTTGAACAGTAGTGAATGTTCAGATTATAAACCAGGCATATTGTGTGCATGGCTAGAACATTTCCAGTTGTGAGGGCTGGGTCTCGTTTTGCTGTTAAGACGCAGAGAGCCGTTAAATGCATCAGCAGTCATTTGTATCACTGGGAACTTGACCCACATCTGATGAAAGCATGAAAGAATGTGAGGGAGTATTGCAGTGTGCAATGTGCATTGTTCTGAGATGAGGACATTTTTTTCACTTCTCAACACAATAGTTCAAAATTCTGCGCAGTTCATCTGTTGACACAATGATAAAATTGTAAAATCAGAGCAAAGTGTGCAAGTTAATGAATTAATTAATCTGTTGTTACACATCCTGACCTTCCTGGCAGCACAGTCGTGACTTTGCTGCAAAGCCTCTGTTCTGGGAATCCTGTCGTGTTGGATCAGGATTATAAGGCTGGTCACTAATCTGCTTGTTAGCAAGGGAGTAACTTGTCATCCTTGTGTTCCACTCAGACCTCAAGAGTCACAGGTAGAGGCCCACAGGTCACGCTAAATATCTGACGCAGTCAATTAATATAGTGTTTTTTGTAAAAGCTACAAGTCAAGTAAAGAGCTTGCTAGCAGTTACCAAAATAAGTGAAACATTTACTGAGATGTTATTCAGAATTCATTACACCTGGCAAGGTTTAGGTTTTTAAATCCACATAGTAAAATATTTTCTTTATTTTTTTCATGACCGCATGTTTGCTTTCATGCATTTTATTTTTAATATTTTTTTAAATATTTTATATTTAATAAATCACACTCATTTCTTATTATTTTCTACTCAGCATGTGTATTAAAATGTTTTCTGAAGGTTCATGTGACACTGGAAACTGGAGTAATGGCCGCTGAAAGCTCAGCTCTGCCATAACGGTAATAAATTACATTAAAAAGACAGTAAAATAGAAAATTGTAATAATATTTCACAGTATTACTGCTTTTACTGTATTTCTGATCAAATAAATGTATAATTTATGCAACTGTAACTATATTACTTCCAGATCTATTGGACTGTTGTTGCAGCTGACAAACATTCTTTCTTACACAATCCCACCCCTCTTTCCAGCACTGTGACAGAGAAACTTTGTACCCGCCGACTTAAGCAAACAGAACATGTTATTTTAGATAGGGGGACCTAGTTGTGAAACTTTTTCCATTTCTAATTTTGTCATTGTGTGATGCCCTAAAGTTCATTAGTCACAAGAGTAATGTGTGAGCAACATGTCTATGATACGTCCAAGAGTATTTTGGTTAAGATGTTAATTAGACTTTATACAATTGTCTCCTTTTTCAGAGCTTATATTTCTCTTTCCCTGAGTCGAGATAAGAGACTTTTTTATAGTTTACTTTAATGTTTCAGTAACATTTTTTCATTCTAATCTTTCCAGGTAGTACTGTTGCTACTTGTCTGCTTTGTCTGCCAAGTACGGAAAAAGGGAAATGATATGTCTGACAGTTTCCACAAAAAATTTAAACTGCACAACTGTTTTCAACATTGATAATAATAAGAAACGTTACTTGAGCAGCAAATCAGCATATTAAAATGATTTCTGAAGGATCATGTGACACTGAAGACTGGAGCAATGTCTGCTGAAAATTCAGCTTTGCCATCACAGGAATAAATTACATAAATTGTATTTTAAAATATATTAAAATAGAAAACATTTATTTTAAGCTGCAATTATATTTTACAATATAACTGTTTTCACTGTATTTTTGATCAAATATATGCAGTACTGGTGAGCATAAGAGCATAATAATAGCATAAAGTGCATAACTTTTTAATAAATGGTCTGTTTCAAAACCCTCATGACAATTTCTAACTATTTTACATTTTGATCTTATTTGTATATTTTTTAATAATCTGCCCCAGTGTGTTAGGTTTAGGGGTTGACCTTCATGCTTAGTTTTAATTTTTGTAAATTTTTGTATGAATCAAATCATAGAAATTCAAACAAATTCACCATTTATAAAATAGTTATATTTTCTTGTAAGATTGGTTTGGTCCATTTTCTCTCACTTATGCTTCCAGCTGCCCTGTCACCCCCTCAGTAGGAAGCACACAGACCCTGTTTACTGCAGGTAATGGTTTTCTATTCAGTAGCATGTCAGACACATGCAGTCAGATAAATAGGTGAAAAGTCATAAAATAAGATGTTGACCTCTTTGCCTCAGTCCTATTCATCTGACAGTAAACTGCCAGAACCAATAGATATTTTTGGCCCATGCTTTGTTCCTTCCCCAGCTGAAGCAATAATATCCTACAGTGTGTTCCCTCTGTGCAGTTTTGCTGTTAGAACACTCACCTCAATACCAGTAATGCTGTTTTTTCTATTAACAGTATGTAAAACTGTTAAAGTAACTTATTAGTCAAAGCCTTTTATTATGAGTCATGGTCAGTCTGGAGCAGAGCTTTGAATGTTTCTTTCAGTTTGAACCCCTGCAGCCTAACAATCACAGGAAAGCGCTGCTTGAGGGCTATAAACAGTCAGATCTCTCATAGACAGTGTAACAGACGGCTGCATTGTTGGTAAAGAGCAGCGGGGACAGGGAGAGGTGTGCACAGCAGCCGGATACTCCTCTTCTGGTCGGGTCTGCCACATATCCTGATTCAGCAATGCTCATTTTTATTCTAAAAGGTGCAAGGCATTTTTTTTCCATTAAAGGGATGGTTTACCCCAAAATGAAATAATTTACTCACATTCATGACATTCCAAACCTGAATGAATTTCCTTCTTCTGTGGAAGACAAAAGAAGATATTTTGATGAATGTTGGTAACTAAACAGCTTCAGTTCCCATATGGTCAAAAATATAATGGAAATCAGTAGGAACTGAAACGGTTTGGTTACCAATGTTTCTCCAAATATATGCCAAGTTCTGTCATGAAAATCTAGATGGCGCAGTCTGATGGGTCCTTAACGATGATATTCACATTCACAGTTACATTTCTTGGCACAAGTTGATTGGTTCATGTTGCATACGCAGCCAATAAGCTTGCTGCTTTAAATTTAAATGGCTGGTTAGCTTTCACTAAAGCATTCGCAGTGCGCTTTCATAGTTCCTCTGAAACCCTCCACCTTCCCCAGCTCCACCTGTATAGATCTGCTACAGGTTATTATATATGCTATAACCTAGAAGTGTGGGGGTCTCTGAAGACAGAGAAGAAACTACTGTATGTTAAAGGTGAATAATAACACAGCATATATATATAATTAACCATTCAATGTTTGCATTTAAGGGCAGAAATATTGTACCTCTTTAAATTTATACAACAAACAATTCACCTCTTGATGAACTTAAGAAAAACCATTTGAGAACCACCTCACTGTAGTGTAGTAGATGTTTTACTATTACCGCAATGGCTTGAGGGGTTCAAAATGCTTAAAATTAACTTATATTTTTCCTGTCAGCTGTCTTTTACATCACAGCTCAATAATGACTACATTAATCATGGGTGACAAACTGAGCTGTAACTAGGCCATTTCTGCAGTGGCAATGGTTAATAGTGGTAATGGTCAACTGAAAATTTTTTTTTTTTTTTTGCATGATCCTTCATCAGTGCTGTTCATATGAAGTTCAAGACCTCTGTGAAATATAAACATTACTTATTGCAATTTTAATTTGTTTTCTGCTTTGAAATGCACATTTTATAATGGCCAATGCTCAGTTTTAGCATCTTTTACAGCAAGCTCTTTCTCATATAAAAGGCCACTATTGTTTGACCTAATATAGTTTTTTTCCTGTCATTCTCCTGACATGAAATCTTGATACTGAAACTGTATGTCACATTGTTGGTTAGATATCAATGATGTGATCACATGTATTAGTGTGATGTAATTTAGAGGCGCTCCAGCAGATGGGCTGTGTTGAAACAGAGCAGGTTTTGTGGGAGGCTGGGGAATTGTTGACACATGTCTGGGCAGAGTGTTGACTTTGCCATTGTCATTTCATCTATGTTGTCTTTAATTAAATCAACCTAAAGAGCTGGATGGACATGCAAAGAATGTCATCTTATAGTCCATTAGAGAGAAGCATCAGATATCAAAGAGGGTTTCTTTGATCGGAATCATGATGTAACCCACTATGGCATAATAAAAGCCAGTATCTCTTGATTCTCAGGGCTCCAGACAAAAAAAATCGAGTAAGGAGCCATTGGCTCCTATAAGAAAAAAACTTAGGTGCCAAATTATTTTTTAGGTGCTACAGAATAAACGTGTTTAATTTATTTTATTATTATTTTTTTTTTTAACATTTAAATCATACTGTCATGTGTTTATGTCTCATCTTTTCTTAACTTTATCAGCATTTTAATGCATCTTAGATGACATTTAAATTAAAGCGGGAACTAAATGTATTTTCCAACTTGAAATATAGGCTACAGTCACAAAGAATTGTTCATTACACAGAATCTGTACCAATATCATGGACCATAAGGATCACTTGGCCACTGAGTGTAGTTTGGGCTCCTCATCAATGTTGTCATATGTCTTTCACACATTCAGTCTGTTTTTCTTCATTAGTAAAATGCAATTTTATAGGAGTTGAATCACAACAGGTTAAGTAAAAATATTAATATGCAATAGCGCATAAATATAGCAAAATGCTCCTCTTTATAGTTATTTTTCTAGCCGAGTGTTGAGCTTATGGACACCGAATGGTTATTCTGCGTTGCAATGTTTACAAGCTTTAACCGTTTTCCTCAGTTTGACACACTGATTGAGCTTTTACATGAGACATTTCAGTAAGTTGTACTGTAGGCTCTCTTATAAAATAGCCTACCTTTTGATGTTAATTCATGTTCATTATGTACTATAGTAACGTTAGTAAAGAGAAAGATATAATGGGTTCACTTGCCGCTTGAACTGAGGCGCTAAAGCGATCGCGCCTGCCGCATTAAAGAGCGCCAAAACCGTATTTATTGTTTGAATTTCGTTATGAATTTGGCATAATTTTAAAGCTGATACTTTGTTTATTAAAAAGTAACAAAGCACAAAGCTTTTTGCGATTACTGGATGGCAAGTGCGCTTCAAATAATATGAAGTTCACGCATTAACAGAACACAGCATATAGACTAAGATCTTGATAAGAAGAAGCCATATTAGTAATGATTATAAACGAGAAATGTTAACGATATTGTCAATATCCACACAGCTGACAGCTTTACCTGTTGTAGTTTGTTCAAGTTGTGCACGAAATAGACACTGCTTTTGTGCACTTTTACTTGCACGTTTCTGTCATTTCGATCTCTCATGCTGCACAACTGAGCTGCGTTTAGCAGGTGTGTGCGTCAGCGCTGTGCAGCAGAGATGAGGTGTCACAGTTATGGACTTTTGTTTGTGTTCCTGATCTTCTGTCTTTTGTTCCTTTTGACCTAGTTTTCCTGAGTTGCCCTGATTAGTTCCTTCGGTTCCACCTGTGTTTATTAATTATCTCATTTGTCTCCTATTGTTTAAAGGGTTAGTTCACTCAAAAATGAAAATTAGGCTGTGTTTTA